ATTGAATGTCGAGCTGAGTGGCTCACATATTCATAAGAGGTTTTATTACTCAGATGGAGGGGCTCTCTTTCCTTTCTTCCCCCCCTCTGACATGGCTAAAGGGTCCTCTAAATAATGCCTTGCATTTCCATATCCTCATAAAAACCACTATGGTTCTTTCCATAAATCTGAGGCACCTCTGAAATCAGCCCAACTCCTTCTGCTCAGCAYGGGCAGGGGCTGCCTCGAAACACAAAGCCCTGGAGCAGCAGAAGGGAGGAGAGGATGCTCCCACCACTGCATTCGAGGAGGATTTAGAGGCACCAACTCATTTCTGGGAAGCAGGAGGTCCCAGCCCTCCCTGCCAACCACGGCAGCTCCTGCCAGGCTCTCCTTGATCCAGCTGCTCCGTGAAGTGAAGGCACAGCAGCTGTACAAACCAGGCAATAACTGCTCAGCGGGGAGCGAGGCAGGGGGACCCCATCACATGAACAAAAGGAAGAAAACAAACCGAGGGAGAAATAAGGGCAATAGAGACAGGCTGGTTATTATAGAACTGCTGCTTGGAATGTATCCTCCCAGCCTGGCTGCCAGTTGGCTTCTGGTCCCAGTCCTTCCCTCCCCTTTCCCACCCTGTCGCTCCAGCAGGCTCTGGAGCTGCTTTCTCTAATGCCATTCTTGCTGCAGCAGGAAAAGCTGCTCTTCTCCGAGGCTGGAGACATTYGGGGAGGCTTCCCCCCTCTTTCTTTTCTTGGCTCTGGCTGCTGGCACGGCAGAACTGCCTGGCATCTATTTAAAGTTTCCTTCAAAGCCCAGTTCTCATCGTCTAGGAGAGGGATTTCTTTCAGCCTCTGCCTTTGTTTGGCTTCTCCTGCAGAGGTGCCRGCAGCGGCTCCGCTTTCAGCTTTTCCTTGGCTCCTATTGAAATCCCACATTTCAAAAGGGAACCAGAGGGCACCGCTCCCTCGCACGGGAACATCTCCTGTGAATGCCCCATCCCTGCTTTCTCGCAGAGCCCGCCTCACCATCCTGTACAACACCAAAAGGAACAGTTTCATGAACTAGACAATTTCAGCGACACAGACACGGTGCCACGCCAGAAGCTGCTCCGAGACTGATCAAAGCTCRCAGACTCTGCCAGGCCAAACACGTCAGCTCTGTTGTCACCTCGATGCCACAGGGAGGCTCGTGCCAACCCCCTTCAACACCCTGTAAAAAGCAAATTTAAACCCCCACGGGAGCTCTCCATGTCCCCTCTCCTCCATCAGACTCCAGGTGACGAGCCTCGGGGAGCACATCCAGCCGCATTTTTTCCTGCTGAAAAATCACTGAAATTTCCTAGCCCCGCTCAGTTCTGCAACATCTTTAAATGCTTTGTAATATTTTGCTGCCAGTTGGGTGGCGCCTTGGGATTTGCTGTTATTCAGAAAGAAGGGACAACTTTAAGAGCTTTTTCCCTTCCCAGGCAAGGGACTGTCACTGCATAAAGTGATGAGATTTCAGGGAAAGTGATAGCCACTGCAAAATGTCTTGGCTGCTTCTATGGGAAGATTTTGACTGTTTCTCATAAAAAATATTAAAAAAAGTTTTCACCGTTTGTAATTATATTTTACAGTTTCATTACAAAGCTCATTTTAATTCTTCTCCAAACCGTTGTTACCAGTCCTCTTGCCACTTTCTCTTCAGAAAAGTCATTAAGTCGGGACTGGAGATCATYCCATTTCCCCCAGTTTCAAGGATATTAATCTGTTTTATTGGTATTTCATTGTCATTTTCATTTGAGTGTTCCCTGCATTTGCATAATTTGCATTGCCACCCCTTTCCTGGTGACAAGCACAGGCTCAGCTTTTCCCTTTCATTCTACGGCGTTTCACTGCATTTTGTTTATTTTCTTTTTCAGGACACGCTGTCTTCCCTGGGCCAGAACCAGAAGYTGGGAGCAGGATGTTGAGGTCCTGTCTCCATCACTGCCTTCCTGGCTGACCCTCAACAAGCACCAGAAACAGTGTGAAATCCCAGTCCGAGTGATGAACTGGACAGTGCCCATCCCAAAGGGACATAAATCAGCATTGGAGCATCATTCCCCAAATGCAGGAGTTTCTGTTCTCCAGGTGCTTGGAATAATGATCTGTGAAGATAACAAATATTCATGAGCCTCTTGGACAATCCTCAAAGCCTTTTAGAAACAGGTCAAGGTGTAGACAAGTCCCTTGTTTCAGATCATTAAACCACAGAATGGTTTGGCTTGGAAGGGACCTTAAACATCCTCTCRTTCCAACCCCCTGCCATAGGCAGGGACACCTTCCACCAGAGCAGGTGSCTCAGAGCTCCATCCAAACTGGCCTTGAACGTTTTCAGGGATTTGGCATCCACAATTTGATGTTATYTCCATGTCTCCACCACTGAYRTTCAGTTTCTCCAATGTGTGAACAKRAAGCAGACATTCTCCTGTTTCCCACAAGGGTCAAGCCGTGACCACTGGGATAGCCCAGATACCCAGAGATCACTCTTAGCAGGGCTAATCCCACTTTAAACACCCTGGTGATTCCCACTCTGCCATGGGGTGCTGATTTCAGCCTCTCTCCACCATCCCTGCAGCTCTCATCTCGCTCTGTCTCTTTAACCATCTCCCCCTCCCCAAAATATGAATCCCCCAAGAGCTTCACCCCAAAGCTCCCAAAGCAGGGGGCTATCCCAGAGCTGGCTGCCCCAGGACAACCCAGCAGCTGGGGATGCACACAGCACGTTTCTGGCAGGAGGAAAGTGCCCCTCTGCATGCCCCAGGCAGMGAGACGACTGCGGGAGCTGAGGAATTGGAACCGACTGAATAATGGGTCCTGTCTGCTGGAAGAAAATGAAATTTGCCCTCATGTTACTGAAAACTTGCACTTGACGCTCACTGCACATTATAAAGAAAAGGTCAGTGAAACACAACAAATGCAAGGAGCCCAGTTGGAGAAAGCAATAAATAGTGACAGCAGCACTCGTCTAATTTTTCAAAGCATCTCTGCCTTTGCTCAAACCCCAGCAATTTCACTCTGTGCCGCTGCAAAGGCTGGGATGAGCAGCTCTGCAGGACAGCAGGAGGCCTGTCAGTGCAGCTCCCAGGGCTCCTCCACGAGCTTGGAGGAGAACAGGAATATCCATCAGACACAATTAGCACCAAYGATACCAACGATAATATTCATTGACGTGACGGAGATTTTGGCCTCAGGCTCGTAGATGCGATTCTGGAAAGGGAGGTCCCTGCAGTCAAACACAGCTGGGGCAATTCCCAAAGAGAGGAACCTCCCAGACACACCCAGTGGGGCAGCAGGGGGGTCTTACCATCGGCAATGAAGTGTTCAGGGACATGGAGGGTCACCTTGACGGTCAGSGGGCAGGAGAGCTGAGAGCCGCACACCACGGCCAGCACGCAGGAACTGACTGCAATCAGTGTCAGCGCCGTCTTGTTCACWGGGCTCTTCATGGAACCTGCAAGGCACACAGAGAGGGGACAGAAGGTAAAGCTCTACCCAGGGCTTTCTCAGCAGGGGCAGSAGAGGCCCAGCCTGGGGAAGGAAGGTGTTGGAAACAAGGAAAACAGCTCAGCAGGGCTCTGCACACCCCATGACTCCCATCACACCTGGTTTGGCTTCATTTTGCCAGAGGAGGGAGAGAACCTGCTCAAAGCCATGTATAGACCCTTTCCCTGGGAGCTTCTCCTCCCTGGAATCACTCGCCACACCTGCCCTGCTCCCCTGCTCAAACCACCATTGATCTTTTTCAACCCTGGTTGACGTGGCAGCCCACTGTGACACCCTCGTGGGGCACGACAACAGCAGGATGGCTGAATCACCACCAGCTACAGCTGGGTGGGACAGGATCCCTGAGTTCCACAGGGAATGGGGTGAACCTGTGCAACACAGGATCATCCAGACAGACCTGGCTGCCCCGAAGATTTGGGTGCTGTTACTGGATGCAGACTGGGAATGTCAGGTGACGTTCCCAAATGAGACCCCGTCTGCTGATGGAGATGACCAAGAACTGTCCCATGCCACCACAACCCCATCAAGAGGTGTCCACTGCCCAAGGAAGGAGCAGTTCTGGAGCCTGCTGAATCCCTGAGGCACCACTGATCCTGCTGCACCTGGGAGCTCCTCTGACAGATCTGCATCCCCCATGGCCTCATCCCACACCTCGTGCCAGCACCCTGCTTTGCTTTGTTCCAAGATGCCAACAGACCCYTCACAGGGCAGCCAGTCCTTCTCCAGGGCTTGGGATGCCACACTTAGAGGGTGTGCCCATGGCAAGGAGAGGGCAGAGCCCAGCAATGAGCCCMGGGCTGCACAGCCCATTGTGGGGCRGCAGAGCTGACCACAGCCCTGCTCAGGATTCAGATGAGGACACCTCCTCATTTTCAGAAGCCATTGCAGCCTCTCCACACTTGCCCCCCAGTCCTCACCACCTCATCAGCAAAGGGAGATTTTAAAGGCATTAGTTTGAACACTGAATGGGAATTGGACCCCAATTAACACTTGCACACCCTACAATTTGCCTCAAGCTGCTGCTGGAGGTGCTGGTGCTGGGGCAGGGACCTCATGCCTGCCCTGGGGATGCTCCAACCAGGACCTGCAGGACAGGAGAAATGGCTGATCTGCTGGAAAACACCCCCATCGCTGAGACCAACAGGAGCGTGCAAACGGATTATTTATGAAGTATTTTCTCCTTTCCTTATGCATGGATCATCTAAACAGCCTTCCCACTCCTATTTCACAGCTTTATCGCCAATCCCCTGTGCCCCTCACCTTGCAATCCCCTTTTYTCCTTCCAAATCTTTATTCATATCATCAGCATAAGTTAGCACCTCCATGGGAGGCAAAATCCTCCTCTTGCTGGGCACACTGTGCCTGCCACAGCCCCTGCTTGGCTTGAAGTTATGACATGAATGCAAAAAAAAAAAAAAAAAAAAAGGGAAAATGAGAAAAAAGGCAAGGAAAAAAGCCCCCATCAGGATAAGTGGCCGAAATCAAATATACAACGGACCAGACAATGCTGGATTTCACCATTATAAATCACCTTTCAATCCAGGGTCTTAAAGTGCTTTGCAAACATTAAAYCATAAATCCCTTATGAGTGAGACAAGTATTATCCCCTTCTCACAAAGAGCCTGAATCCCAGGTATGATGGCAGCTTTCACCAACCTGAGTGAAGCTGGAGAAATTAGGATTTCACATCCCCACTGGTCCATGTGGAAGAATTAGGATTTCACATYCYCACTGGTCCAYRWGGAGGAATTAGGATTTCACATYCYCACTGGTCCACGYGGAGGAATTAGGMTTTCACATCYCCACTGRTCCATGTGGAAGAAGAATTAGGATTTCACTGGATCCCCACTGGTCCATGTGGCTTCTCTTCTCCCCATGACTCAGAGGAGAACAGCACAGGAGATTGAAASAGCAAAAAGCCTTTTACAGCTCCATGAGTTTGAGCTTGGCTGCTCCAAGTCTCGTGGAACTCCCTTCCCTCCTGCACTCACTCATTCCATCACTGCTGATCACTGACCTCCACAAGTGCCTGCTGTTGGGTTGACCAACTGAACCAAAACAAGGGGGTTTCTGCTTGAGCAGGAATTGCATTTCCAGCTCAGCTCCTCATTGCTCATGACCAGTTTGCTGCCAGGTTTGAGGGGAGACTGCTGGGAAAKCATTTAAAGAGAGGGACAGGGATTTTGTTTGCCCTCCCCTTCCCTGCTTTTCAGAGCACTGATGCTCCAGCACTGATGTGCTGTGTTTAAAACCCTCTCTGGAGATAATCAACTTCACTCCAAGCCCCTAAAACCACAAGCAAATGTATTTTCAGCAAGCCTGTCCTAACTAAAACCACCCGAACAGGCTTCACCCTGGTCCAGAGGTGAGACAAACTTATCCCTTCCTTCTTCAGCCCACCCAAACCCAGCCTGGTAGCTCAGGCAGCCCCAAATAAACCAAAAGCCACAAACGAGAGCCTGGCCTGGCTAAGCCTGTGCTTTCCCTGCTCTCCTTGTCATCTCCAGGCTTTCAGGGAAGCGTCTGAAGAGCAGATTTGAAAATCCAGGTGCACCAAACAAGCTTGTATCAATCTCATTTTCAAAGAGGAGGAAGCTGGGTGGGAATACAAGATCTTAACAGATGGCTGAGAGCCCCAGAACCCAACACAAGTCCTGGTTTGGGTCTTGTGGGGTCCAAAAAGCCCAGGAGGAAGATGRTAACCAGGCAGGACTGAGACCGAAGTCGCTCCCCAGCTCCCTCTGCCCTAATAAATGCTTCACACATTAAGATGTATTTTTAATTAAAGGTGTTTCTGTTGTRTTTTGAGTGGTTGCAACAGAGGGAGTGGATGCTCGAGTGCTCACCCAGGCATGTTTGGAAGAAAAAACATGGATCATGTGGATTCCCAGGGGAGGCAGCCAAGGAGCAGGCAGGATGGCAGGCAGGGCACACAATCAGGATGAAAAATAAGAATAAACTACTTCTATCCAAACAGGGAGACCTCTCTCCAGAGCCCACAAAATCCAAGGAGAGAGAGGCAGAAAGGAAAGGCAAACTGTTCCATTTCAGGGCAGAATTGTACCTGAGCTGCTCCCTGCTAGTGATCCAAGGGCAGCTTAATGAGACTGGAAAACAAGAGGAGTGGCCAGCTCGGTGCTCAGAGGGGCTCTGGGCACCACCACCTTCCCCAGCCAAGACATTTTTGTGTCTCCTCAAACCCCAGTGCAAATTATCCTGCTGAGGATGAGGGTCCCCATGCAGACAGCTCAGAAACAGCTCGCAAAGCACCACATTCCCCTGAAGATTCTGCACCTGCTGCAAGATGAAGATAAATTCAGAGCCACTGGTGTAAACACTCAGCAAGCAGCCCCTCCAAACACACCGTGTCTCCTTTGAAATATTATTTCCTTGTGYATTTAATTACTCACTTTGTGAGTGCTTTGTATATTTTCCCTTGCCCGCCCAAAAGACAGGAGGGGGGAATAAAAAACCCAACAAAACTCTGAGCTYGATTCTTTTCAACATTGGCAGCACTGCCTAAATTTAGAGGAGGGGGGAAAGAAAAGAAAAAAAAAAAAAAAGGTGTGATCAGAACACGTATGGATTTATGAGCACCACAAATACCCCGTGTTCTCGGTAATATGCTGTTTCTAAATCAGGCTCATAAATACATGCTTGGGAGATTAGTCTATAAAAAAAAATAAACTTTAATTACCCCCTCTTTATCAGCACACAGCCCGTGGTGTTAACCATATGTGGGTGTTAAACGCCAAGTGCTTTGCAATCTTCCCCGCCCCCCCGGGAGATAATAGCATCACACGGAACAGTTCYGTGGCCACTCGGAGATGGAAATGCATTCCCAGCACCCCAGGAAGATGGGGCTGGAGAAGGCGAGCAGGAGAACAGCGAGTGCTGCAAGTGCAGAGCAACCCCCGCATGCAGAATGGCCAGAACGGGGACAGCAGTGACCCTGGGGACAGCCAG